TCAAAGAGTTCAGCTGTTCTCACAGTCAGAAATAATCAGCTTCTGGCTTGGTGCCTGTAGCTCAAGCAGCTAAGACGCCAGACATATAAACCAAAGCTGGCGGATTTGAATCCAGCCCGGGGCCTGCCAAACAACAGTGACAACTACAACCAAAAAAAAGCTGGATGTGGTCATGGGGGCCTGAAGTGCCAATTACTTGGGAGGCTGAGGCAAGAGAATCACTTAAACTCAGGAGTTAAGAGGTTGTTGTGAGCTGTGATGCCACAGCACTCTACCTAGGGTGATGGCTTGAGGCTCTGTCTCAAAAAAAAAAAGTGCTGTCCCCATATTCTGAAGGTGGCAGGTTAATAAAAAAAAAAAAAAAAAAAAGAAAAAAAGAAATATCAGCTTCTTACAGATCACACAAACTATCTCTACATCAAAACCAATGTCCTTGCTCCATAATTCACATCTCCTGCTATCAGTAAGACAACCCATGTGCCCTTCAATATGTTTAAAGAACAAGCTCATCGCCTCCTTCTATGTATCTGACAATGGCACGGGTTGTCACTCAAATTCTCGAGCAACTGTCATTCATTATTCTTTTTCACTTCCCATATTTAATAAAGCCTGACCTAGTGGTGTAACTACCTTGCCCAACACGAAGGCTGTACTCATGGAAACAGAGCTGACAGACAAGGAAACCAAGGCACAGCCATGTTTTAGCTACTGGTCTCCAAAGTTTCAGACCAGCGTTATGTACATTCCACTGTACACATTTCAACAGAAGTTAATTTCATTAAACTGCTTCATTCAAACATTCAATAGTACTGCTACCTGTAGAGTTTGTAAACTTTGTTACATGTTTAATTATTTGAATTTTTTTTTTTTTTTACTCAGACAGAGTATCAATTTGTCACCCTCGGTAGAGTCCTGATGTCATAGTTCATAGCAATCCCCAACTCTTGGGCTCAAGTAATTCTCTTGCCTCAGTCTCCCAAGTAGCTGGGACTACGGGCACCCACCACAACGCCTGGCTATTTTTGTTTGTTTGTTTGTTTAGCAAGCCCAAGCCAGGTTAGAACCCACCAGCCCTGGAGCACGTGGCCAGCACCCTAACCACTGAACTACAGGCGCCAGACTTCAACTTATTCTTATACATCTTTAAAGACTGATTAAAATATTTATTTGGAACCCAGCCTATTTTTCTTAACTCAGAGATAAGTTATCAGGATCTAGTATTTTTCCTTATTTAGTAGCATCTTCTCTTTTTTGCAGACAGTACTCGCCCCTAGCAGATCTCAAATATGAGCTAAAAGAAAAACTTCACTACCTTTCTCTTCTTTTGCTTATTGCTTCTTTCTCTAGGTGCAAAGAACTGAACCTCTGACTGAAGGACAATCATGTAACATCTACTTTTCTTCACCAGAAGTGCCTAAATCCCTGCAACTGGACTCAGTTCACTGAGAATCAAATATACCATCAATATCCTTTTAAGAGGGATAACAGGCTTGTCACCTGTAGCACAGTGGTCATGGCGCTGCCACATGCACCAAGACTGGCGGGTTCAAACCCAGTCCCACCCAGCTGGGCAATAATGACAACTGCAACATAAAAATAGCCAGGGATTGTGGCGGGCGCCTATAGTCCCAGCTACTTGGGAGGCAGAGGCAAGAGAATTGCTTAAGCCCAAGAGTTTGAGGTTGCTGTGAGCTGTGACACCACAGCACTCTCCCTAAGGAGCGACATAGTGAGACCCTGTCTCAAAAAAAAGGAAGGGGGGATAACAAAATGCCCCCTTAAGTATTATTGCTGATAGACAAACTTGAAGCCTGAAGTTTAAAGTAGAATTCTTCAACAGAACCTGCCCAATTCAATTAAACACATACAAGTAATCATATACAAAGCACTTTAAGAACATGCCTCAAAATGAAGCCCTGCTTCCCTATAGGATAGAACTTCTTTAAGCTTCACAAGGTTTACAGTGGTTTCTATGACTAAATGAAGAAAACAAAGGTTCAAACGGCAATTGTACTACCAATCACCTGTGCCATCTTATCATGCTATCTTCAGACTTCATTTCCTCATCTCTAAAACAGAGGCCTTTATAAACTCTAAAGTTCTAGATTCCACGATGGCAGGATTAGAAAGCTTCTAACTCAGCAGTTCTCAACCTATGGGTCACAACCCCTTTGTAACAATAAAAATGCATCCTGCACATCAGGTATTTACATCATGATTCAGAACAGTAGCAAAATTATAGTTATGAAGTAGCAACGAAAATAATTTTATGGTTGGGGGTCACCACAACATGAGAAACTGTATTAAAGGTTCGCAGCATTAGGAAGGTTGAGAACCACCGTTCTAACTGGCCTATCTACATCTACCCTCTCCTTCCCCATTATCCCTCTCCTAGCACTCATTTTCCTATTGCTGTTAAATTACCACAAACTCAGCGGCTTAAAACAACACAAATTTATTCTATTACAATTCTAGAGATCCTAGATCTGAAATAACTTTACTTGGCTAAAAATCAAAGTATCAGCAAGGCTGCATTCCAGGAGCTGCATTCCTTGGTTCATGGTCCCCTCCTTTATCTTTAAAGCCAGCAATGTATCATCAACAAATCTCTGACTCAGACCCCTGACTCTCCTAGCACCTTCTCTCACTTTGAAGAACTCCTGATTACTCTGGCCACTTAGATAATTCAAGATACTCTCCTACTACAATATCCTTAAGTTATGTCTGAAAAGTAGCCATGTATGTTAAATAAATATTCAAAGGTTCTGGTGATTAAGAAGTGAACATATTTGGGGGAGGCTTCCTTCCACCTACAATTATTTAGTTACATTAGCTCGCTAATAAAAAACACTTAATGGGGCTCAGTGCCCAAAGCCCAGTGGTTACTACGCCAGCCACATACACCGGGACTGGCAGGTTCAAACACGGCCCAGGCCTGCTATACAACAATGACGACAACAACAACAACAAAAATAGCAAACAGTTTGGCAATTTCTCGAAACATTAAACATTAATGAAGAGATAAGCCCAAGCAATTCAGCTCACAAGTATATACCCAAGGGAAATGAAAGCATGTGTCTACACCAACACTTGATGTTCACAGCGGCATTATTCAAAATAGCAAAAAAGTGGAAACAACTCAAATGTCAATCATGATGAACAGATAAGTAAAATGGAGTATATACTGGAATATTATTCATCAATAAAAGGAACAGAGTACTGATACATACTCTAACATGGATGAAGACTGAAAATATTATGCTAATGCTGGGCATGGTGGCTCATGCCTATAATCCCAGCACTCTGCGAGGCTGAGGTCGGTGGATGTCCTGAGCTTTAAGAGATCCAGTTTCAGACCAGCCTGAGCCAGAGAGAAAGCCTATCTCTACTAAAAATAGAAAAACTAGCTGGGTGTTGTGGTGCGGGCCTATAGTCCCAGCTACTCAGGAAACTGAGCAGGAGGATCCCTTGCATCCAGGAGGTTGTTATGAGCTGTTATACCACAGCATTCTACCAGGGTGACAGAGTAAGATGCTCTCTCGGGAAAAAAAAGAATATTATGCTAAGTGAAAAGCCAGCAATCACAAAAGGTCACATCTTGCAAGATTCCATATACATAGATTTTGAAATATCCAGAATAGGCAAATCAATAAATGCAGAAAGTAGGTAAGTGGTTGCCATGGGTTGAGAGGAACAGGAAATGGTGAGTGACTGCTAGGAGGGATGGCATTTCTTTTTGGGAAGATGAAAATGTTCCAAAGTTAGACAATGGTGATGATTACTCATCTCTGTGTATATATATTAAAAACCACTGTATCATACACCTTAAAGGGGAAAATTTGTGGCATGTTAATCATATCTCAATAAAGCTGTTCAAAAAATTCTATGGTACTCAGTTCACATGTAAAACTACTGGTAAACATAATTTATCTCCAGGTAGTCTAGAGAGAAAATAAGTATATATGATATCTTCTAAGAACATACATTTTTCTTTGTATATTTAACAGAAGCATCAACTACTCAGAAGAGCTGTATGAATGTTCTTTGTTGGAAAGGTAAATGACTATTATCACAACATGCTGAAAAATTAATAATACACAAAAGGAACTGTAACTTGAAAATCAACACATGGATGGCTCCTTAGTGGGCACAAAACAAAATCTCCACGCCTTTAGTCTTCCTTTGAAACTTAGTCTCATCCATCCTTTGAGACTCAGCCCCCATTACCCCCAGCACAAAGTCAGGCAGGCAGGCATTTCCACCACCCACCCTCCCACCACTTGGCAGCACCATGCTCACTGCTTCCCATCCTCATACCATCTGCTTTCTGCCTTCAACAAATGCTAGGGACGTTTTGCCCAACCAAGTGGTCCTTACTCTTCAGGGCGTGACTTAAGTCCTACCACAGAGTGTGGCAACCCAACATCCTCTGGTCTCCACAACACTCGTTAGAGAGTTTTCACCACCCCAATGCAAGTAATTCATTCTTACAACAATAAGAATGAAGGGTCCTGTACACGTTCCCTTTTATGGCCCTTTTCCATTTCATTTCATAATTCCCTCACTTTAAGGAGATGATACAACAGCTTCCACCCAGAGTCTGGAAGAAGAGAACATTCTTGCCAAATGACAGAGTGCCACCTAGTTGCAACTTGGGGTAACTCCCAGTGGCACTAGGAGGGAAACAGAAACACACTGCAGGTAAAAATAAGAAGTTACTGTACCACCTCGCAGGGCAATTTAATTTTTTCATATGTGCATCCTATTGCCCCAACTACACTACTTCACAAGTCTGACAGACATTATTTGTTTCATGCATACATTAGTCATTTAGTATTTACTAAATCAAACTTAATTTCTGAAGGGTCTTACCAAAATAAATTCCTGTGTAGATGTTTGAATTTTTCCTTAATAACATGATAGATTTATGGCATCAGAGTGTGAGTTTATTACAAGAACAAGACAAGTACAAGATAAAAAGAAAGCTATGATTTACTCACATATAATGGAGCTTGCTGTGGATTAAGTTTCATGACCCAGGACACTGTAACAGAAATGGAAGAAATAAGTGAGATTAAAAGTTGTTGCCAAAAATATAAACACCAACTACAGTCCCAAATGTCAAGCACAGCTCTTTTGAGTACAATCCCATTTCTGAGATTACTGCATACTCAACTGTATATTGTATACTAAGAGATTTGGGGAACAAGGGAGGTCAAGGATTGCAGAATTCCCTGTATCCCAGACTCAAATCTCTCAAGTGAGGAGAAAACCTTTCCAATTGAAAAATAAAGATAAATAGCTTCACTGTCACAGAAGTTTCAACAATAAACAGGATATTTAAAGCATTTACCAAAGCAAAATCATTGTATGTTCAATTACACTTTTACGTAACACGCCAAAACTCACAAAATGCTGCTTCCCAGGTACTCCCTCTAGTCTCACTAGGGAACTTGGGGGAGGGGGCAGGAAGAGGACCACTACTGCTCTCTTCCGTGCTGTCCCTCTCTCAGGCAAGGAAGGCAACAGTTTGCCTGTAGCAAGTCAAAGTCATCACCCTCCTCAAAATTAATAGCTGAATTTCCTGATGATTATTTTCACTAAATGAATTCTCACAAATCTTATTAAGAACTTTAGAAAAGTTCCAGGATTGTATAATACATTCTTAAACATTAAGAATTGCAAGTGGGCTTGGCGCCTGTGGCTCAA